CTTGAGCCCAGGAGGCAGCAGTTGCTGTGAGATGAGATGGCACCACTGCACTCCAGCCTGGGTAACAGAGTGAGACTTAGTCTCAAAATCAACAACAACAACAAACCTAATTGTGAGAAACAACTGGCCGTCAGACCTCCTGAATACTTCAGACCCTTGTGTGTGTCACATGATATTTTTGGTTCCCTGTGACTGTGGTAACCTTTGCCCCAACAGTGAGGAGGTTGCTTTTCCTCAGCTTCACAATTTAGGAAATGAAGATGTTTGGCTTTGGCATGACGGTGAGGATTCTCCTGTGTCTTATCCCTCAAGCCTGGTACTCCTGCTCTCCTCCCCATCCTTGCCTTTTACAACTACTCTGAGAAGCAGCCCCCAACCCTACTCCAGGCACCCAGACTCACTTTTAAGCACTGACCCTAAAGACAACTCATTCAGCAGTTATGGGAACTTCACAGGATTTACACACATTGTATAGAACACGTGATAAAGTTTCAGCTGTGGCTGGGAGACTCTTTCAGAAGGGGTATACCCTCTGGGAGAACATGGTAGAGTCAGTGGTAACTTTAATTCTTCTGCCTGCTCTGGGAATTGGGGTGAGGGTAGGGCATCCTTCAACCCAGAGCATCCATCTGAGGCAGAGAAATCTTCGGTTCTTCTACGTCAACATTGTGATCTACTTCCTGTATTTTGGGTCTCTTCCCTCCAGGACCTGATGGCTAGACTTACCTATGTTTACAAGTGCCCCAACTTTTTAAAAGACAATTATTTACTGTTGCTGCCCCTGCACTTGATTAAATGAGGGGGGAACCACATTTATCTCTCTGTTGCTCCTCCTCCTCCTCCTCCTGCTGTTCCTCCTGCTGCTCCTCCTGCTCCACCACCTCCTCCTGCTCCTCCTCCTCCTGGTCCTGCTCCTCCTCCTGCTCCTGTTCCTCCTTACTGGAATTACATAGCAAAGGACAGAACAGCCTAGGAAACAAGTGACTAGCTGCACCGTGAGACAACTGTGGACAAGAATTCTGCTGGTCAAGCATCTTTTGCTAGGCAACAGTGCCTTTTGGGTGGCCTGTATATGCTATTTAAACTATTTTTACATTAATTTGCAAAGCTATGCTAGAAGGCAGGCAATAAGCTAGAGCTTCCCACCCTCCCATGCCCCTCCCCACCAACCCCATGCCCACATTCCCAACCGCTGGGACCCAATCCTGATGGATCTAACAAAGAATGTCCAGGACATCTGGGAAGTGGCATGGGAGACAGAGACATGCTTATGAAAATTAACTTCACCTCAGAGAGAGCCACAGAGAGGGAGGGGCAGAGGGAGGGGGAGAGCACTTACATGGCAGGGAAGGTGATTGGACTCAGATTTATGTCACAAAACAAAAAGAGCCACGACAGTGGGCTTACTTGCAGAAGTATATACAAGTGAACTGGGGGCACTGTACATGGAAGATCCCTCCTGGTTGGCCTGGCACAACAGGACCGTGCCTACGAAAGAGAGAGAGAGATGGTATCTGGTTTGGGAATTGGCACACTACACCTTGAGAGATCACGGCAATGCAACCGAGAAACGCAGAGAAATGAAAACGGCCACATCCCAGAGCGCAGGACAAGGGCACCCAACAAAGCCCCCTGCCTTAGCCAAAGGGAATCAATGGAAGCCCCCCCCACCCTCAGCAACCCGGCCCGCCAAGCACACGACATGACTTTTCACACGGGGTTGTGTAGCGTGCTGTGGTTGACCCAGGGCCCAGGTTCAGATCAGGAATGGAAGCAGCGTGGTATCCTGAAAAGGGAACTTGAGAAATATTGGAGGGAACTAGAGAGTAAGCCTGACTCAGACACCTCTTCACTGTGTGTGATCTGGCAAGTCACTGTACCTCTCTGTGCCTCGGTGTTTCCATCTGGAAAACAGGGGTAAATATACCTACCTCCGAGAAGGGCTGTGCATCGTATGACTGGAGATGTACCCAGGGCAGGGGCTGGCATGTAATAATCACTCAAGTAATAGTAAGCATACATGTTGATACGTTTATGGAAAACTGTACCTTCCTTCAAACATCAGTCTTTCCGAATCGGTTCTTCAGAGGAAGAACCAAAGTAAGGCAGAGAAAGAAAAATTGCAACTTTTTGCCATCCCTGGGACCCACCCTGGACCCACACTGGACACTGGGTGAGAGAATCTTTGGCTTCTGCATTCCCACTTTCTTCCCTAAAGCTCTCTGCCTTCCAGCCAGAGAGGCTGCCTAGCTCATCCTCCAAACCACGGCTGCATTGCAGCAATGACTTGCCTCCTCCTGATTTAAAGCGAAGGGCACTAGGTTTATCCTCGCAAGATGGAATTTTACAGCGGCGAATAATGGTGGAATCCTGACATACCTCCTCAATCTATGACAGATTTTGAACAACCACCCACTCCAGGGATGACCGGGGTCAGGAATTGTCAGGGTATCAATTCTACTTTCCCACTGCTGCAAGACTCAAACTCCAAGACTTTGAAAAGAATTAGAATTCTGAGGAGTTTTAAGGCCATTACTGGTGATGGAAATGCCTCCCTGTGGTTTCTGGTCACTTCCCTGGCGAGGGAAGGTCAACCACCCCAGTTTGATTTGGGTTCCCCTGTCAGGACCACCACGGGAAAGCAATCTCCCAGGATAAGAAGCCAACCTTACAAGTTCCCCAGAACAGGGAACTTTTCTACATCCCTGGAGACTTGCCCTAGGGAATAGTTCTGTGGTCCTTCTGTATCTTCCCTACGATCAACAAAAATGTAGTTTAAACTTCCAAAGTGTGTGGGGCCCTGCTACATAGAGGGACTACGGGGGATGTCATCAACGGAGAGTAAACCAGATACAGTTCTTGGTAACCCATCTCACTCTTCCCCTGTTACCAGTCTGACAACTCCATCCACTCTTTCCCAGGGAGAAGTGGCCCAGGATCAGAGGTTCCACCTGAAGGAATGTCCCATAGTCCTTTTCGATCTGGTATCCTATGCTTACAGCTGGAGAAGAACCACCCCCACCCCCAAAATAACCCTTCACACAACAGTGAAATTAACTTGAAAATAACTAACCTTCTCTCGGTAGTAAATATATCAAGAGTCTGGAGGGGTGTCAGTCATGATCCACCTGTGCTAAACTAGTAGTTCTTTCTTCTTCATTTAAAAACAGTGTATCAGCCAGGTGTGCTGGCTCATGCCTGTCATTCCAGTACTTTGGGAGGCCGAGGCAGGCAGATCACCTGAGGTTAGGAGTTCGAGGCCAGCCTGGCCAACATGGTGAAATCTTGTCTCTAATAAAAATACAAAAATTAGCTGGGCATGGTGGAAGGCGCCTGTAATTCCACCTACTCAGGAGGCTGAGGCAGAAGAATCGCTTGAACCCAGGAGGTGGAGGTTGCAGTGAGCCAAGATCACACCACTGCACTCCAGCCTGGGTGACAAGAGTGAAACTCCCCCTCAAAAAAAAAAAAAAAAAGTTTATCACAAGGTATGAGATGATCCTTTACATGGTTTAACCTCTCCTCAGGTATTTCCAGTTTTAGCAGGTCACTGGGGATTAATAACAAACAAACCAAACTTCAAAGAATGGAGATTGGGATATGAAACCAACCAAGGGGAGGCAAGCTACCTACACCAGGAAGGACAGTTGTCTCCTCTACAGTCAGTGCTCTTTATTGATGAGTACTCCTCTGTGACTCTACAGTGGTTATCCATGTGCTTCTGCTCACTGCTAGAAATCTTAGAAATGAATGTTTCTATAGAACACACAGAGTTATCAGATCAGAATCATCTAGAATAGGATCCTAGCAGGTGGATTTAGGGAAAGCTCCTCAGCCTTCTCTCCTGTGCATGCCTGGTTAGAAAAAAACACTTTTAAAATCAGATCTGAAGTTTCTTGGGGTGCCTAAATTTCAAGAGAAAAATGTATAACTGTAACAAAAACATATGCGGAAGGACATTTCAGTATTGTATGGTTAAAACCCTTGGGTCAATTTTCAATATCCTTGATGCAATTTATAGAATACCACTGGGACACAGCACAGATTTTTGCCTGGAAAGCTAACCTCTGGCAGGGCATAATGAAGCATTCCTAATTTTTTTTTAAGCTGTGGATTCTGAGAACCTGGACTGAAATAACTTCTTTTGGATACTTTCTTAATAGTAAAAAAAACAAAAAACAAAAAACAAAAAAACCAAAAAACAAAACTTTATGCAATGATTTTGACCTTTTGTAAAACAAAATCTATGCCTTCACAGGACTTGGTTTTTGTTTTATCTAAAAGCATCCTCCAATTTAATTTGCAAAGTACTTACTGTATGTTCCCTTAGTGCTTTGTGACCTTTTCTTAAAAGGAAGCTTTGAATTCAACAAAACCAAAGCAGCAGAGAACACTGCAACCTCCTTGAATTTTTTTGGGGGCAGGGAAGGGTAAGTGTGTTTGTTTTAAAAAGTAAGTCAAACAGGTAATAAGGTACAAGTAGCAGTATGAAGAGTGCCTACAATGTCATTCCAAGTGCTTCTCTATATAGCTCTTCAGTGAGTCCACTGAGCTGCATCTTCTGTCCATCCCTAGCCTTCAACATAAACCTTCTACTGTCAGATACCAGGAACCTTCATCTGTATCAAATGGTGACATCGGTACTTCTCAGACTTCCGTGCTTTTAACAAATTCCTTATAATTTAAGGATGACATCTGGGGTCAATTTATACCACTACCTACCCACTCTTTAGCCAGAATGGAATTAATCAATTTCAGTATTACCCTTTCTTATTGACCTGGAATTCTCACAAGCATTCTCAACATAGCCAGTAGGGAATGATTCCCATTTGATGAGAGTTGAAGGGAATTAGTCTTTCATGCCATTCCTGCATGAGTTAAACCATTTGAAACTGACTTTTTTTTTTTTTGGACAAATAGAATTGAATGTTGCCAAGTTCATGTGGTTCAACTTAAACAAAGTGGCTTCCCTTGTCCTCCTCCAACGTAGTTTAAAAGTGACTAGTCCTCAGGGGTGAATTAGTCACCCCCTATTCTATGCTCTGATCTTACATTTTTAAACCTCCCTGATAGATCCTTCGTGGTCCTGTACTACAATTTTCTACTTACGTATTGGTCATCTGAACTCCAAAACCCAGCTGGGGTAGAGCCAAATCATATGCATCTTTTCATTCCCAGCACCTAGCAAAATACCTGGTCCTCAGAAGGATTAATGCATATGATTGAATTATAATACATTTTTAAAAAGAACTCTCCACTTCTATCTTTGCTAAAAATAGTGTTTTTTTTTTTCCAACCAATCCTCCTTCTGCCTATTGTTCATGGCAGGAAATTTCCATGCCTAAAGTTTAAATAGACTTACAAACTACATCTAACTTTTATAGATTGAAATAGCTTCAATCTATTTCACGTGTTGTCTCTTCTTTCCTGGTTCTTACAAAGTTGGCTCATCCAGTCTAACAAGAAACCTGGACAGCCCGGACTGTCGATGACTGTACCAGCACCTGGCAGAGACTGAGCTCCATGGGACAGACCTCAATCTCAGAATAATCAGAGCCCGTTCCAAAACCTGTCACACTTGCCTGCTCTGAGTGCTGGGTCATCAGCATCCCCACGTCCTGGCAAGATGTCCCACAGCTACTCTCCAGCAGGATTTGGAATCCTCCAGTGAGGGAAGGGGTAAGCCAGGGTCAAGGCCTCAGATTGGGCATCAGAACCCTTTCTGCTCAGCCATAGTCTACCTGCAGTGTGTAGGGGATCATTCGTGGCCCCTGAAGGGGCAGGGACAAGCCTAGAAAGGATGCTTCCCATCACAGACAGGAAGAAGGAAGTGTTGAAAAGTGTTTACTCTGCTGCCAACCCCGAAGTGAGGAAAACTGGACTAAAACCGGAACAGCAGTGCGGTTTCACACCTCCGTGCCTTTGCAGACGCTTTGTCTTTTTCCAGGAAATCTTTTCCTTACTCTAGATAACTCCTTTCTGGATTCAGCTCTGCCTTCTCCTAGAAACCCTATCTATGTACCTTTGTCTGGCCAAGTTCAGCTTCCTTTCTCTGCTTTTTAAAATTGTGGTGTTGTAATCTATTTAGAGAGTGTCTTTCCCCATTGATGCTACTAATTCAAAGAGATCAGGAATCATGTGTTTATCTTCCTATCCTCATGCATTCAGGAACCTAGACTAAGAGGCAGGAAGCAAATGAAGAGAGAATCCAAAGGTTTATGATAGGCAGTCGTGCTATACTTTCAAGAAATAAAATTAAAATGGAGGATGGGAAGCAAGAAAAGGGTGTTTTGGCAATGTCTGCCCCTTTCCTTTTAGTATCAACTAGGCACAGTTCCAAGCCAGCACATGGTGAATAACTAGAACCTTTCCTACATAATTTGCAAATTAAAAAAAAAAAAATGTGAAAGGAACATCCCAACTGCCTGGCAACTGGGAGCGGTCAATTAGCTTCATGAGCTCCAAGATGAAGATGTGTTAGAATATCT